ATTACTGTGTATTGGTAGTTGGTATCTGAAAATTCTATTCCATTTCAGTCTGAGTTGAAGAATCAGGGATACTGGAACTAAGTAAAAGGAAGGAGACTGGTTAGCAACCACCTGTTAGCATATGGGTTGCCACCGTGGTCTGCATTTTCCCAGGGGTGTGGCTCCGGAGCCATAATGGGCCAGTGATCATCAGAGCTTCCCTAAAAATCCTTTCTGCCCTCAGCCCCAGGCCCTGCTCGCTGCTGACTGCTTCCCCTCTTCCCCTCCCTGCCCGCCTCCTCTTCTCCACCGTCATCTCCACACGGGGGCTTCCCCACCACTCGGCATCTTGGTGTCCTCACCACGATGCTGCCTTCCGCTGTCAGCCACGTGGATGCCTCCCAAACCCCGTCCCCGGCCCAGGCTGTCTTCGCACCTCTGCCTTGACCTTCCACTTGCTTGCCTGACACATCCACCCGGGAGGCCCACCAGCACATCCTCCTCCTCTTGTCCACACGGAGCCCCCTGTGTAAACCACGCAGAGAAGCGGGACTCCTGCAACCCGTGTTCTTCCTGGGGACCGTGTTCCCGGGCTGCCAGGCCCCAGCTCCAGGTAAATTCCTTCTCACCTTCTGGCGTCTTCCCTTCATTTCCCACCGCCCAGGCCTCCCTTTACGTTTAGGGTTAATTTTCTTGCAGGTACAGGAAAGTCAGGTCAAACGTGTAAAACAATACCTGCATGTATGATATGACCTTATGAGTTCAGGACTATTGACCTCTGCCATGTGTATGAAGGCGTAGATAGATGTGAAGAAAATGATGCTTTAAAGAGTATCTGGAGGTTCCCATGCCAGAAAAGTCCGGAGGTGAGCGATGTGCCAGCGCGGAGATCTGGCTTCTCTCTGCTTACTCTCTTGCTCTCTCCGTCTCACCCGAAGACTCCCTCTTAGGTCCATGATGGTGACAGCGTCGCCCAGGTGCCCTGGCTAATCACCTAGGGGCCACCCTTCCTTCACCCCTCATATGCATAAAGGTTCCCTGTGGACCCAGATTAATGGGGTTCAAGCCATCATGTGGCAAATCCTGACTCCAACAGAGAGCTTACTACATTTAATAGTTCAGCTTTGCTTAGAACAGAAGACTGGCAGCTGAACGTCCGAGAGCTCCTTTTTTAGATGCCTAAATGGCTGCCTCCCTGCGAGATGGTTTTAATTAAATCTTGCTTCGCTGGAGGGGACTGTGAACGGTAGCGGCACATCAGAACACAATGAAAATTAAAATCTAAGGCGGGTGAACTGCTCCTTGGCTTTGCAGGGCAAGTAAGGAAAAGCGGAGCTTATATGATATTTGCATGTGTAAAGAAAATTATTGGTTTCACATTTGTAACCGTGAAAACAGTCTTCTCGGGGGATACACGTTCAAGTTGTCTGAAAACAAATCAAATCCACGTGTTTTTTCACAGTCTGACGAGGGCTGTTCTTCAGGCAGCACGCAGATTCAGGCTCTAGGCATTGGGTACACACGCCCATCAAACTCCACCGAATCCCCAGTCTCTCCACTTCTCCTCTCCCCCCACCCTGGGGGGGGGGAGATCATTGTTAACCTTTTTCTCAGCTCCCTTTCTCTGAGGTGACCAAGTCTGAGGGATGCTCCCTTTTCTGCATTTCTCCCTGGTTAGGTTTACAATGCACTTTGGAGAAAAGGGCTAAGGGGTTAAATATGAGGCGTGCAGGGGGCAGTGGATCAATGTTTCTATCCCTCTCCCCTCCTCTCTCTCTCAAGTCAATAAAAACATATGAATAAAAATGAACTAACAAACACAGATGAGAAGCGCCATAAACACCAACACGGCAGCGTCACCATGCAAGGTTTGCTTTTTCTTTTGAAATTTTTATGAGTTCTTGAGTCAAACGTAGGTGACTATTATTTGTTGTCTCTGAAACATACTTCTGACAGATGGCCAAAACGCTCCTTCATTTCCATTTCGTCTGCTTCCATAATTAAGCTTAGTGTGCGCCATGGACCAGCAGACTGAGCATGACTAGGCCAAGCCCGTGGTCTTTATTATTCGTGTCCTCCCGCGTCCTTTGCTTGGTGTGATTGGTGCATTTCCTGTGGCATCCCTCACAGTTGGGCGGCATAAGCACATCACAGAGAAGATTGGGGGGAAGCAATTTTGTGCTTTGAGAATAATTTACCTTGTGATTTTAGCTGCAGGACAGCTTCCTATTTTAAAACCTTCCATTTCATTATACAAACAGAGGGGCCCCCAAGCCTTTGAACACAAGGCTGAATCTCAGAGCCTTATTGGCCCTCCTGTGCTTGCTTAAGCAAAGGTGTCTTAAAGGGCTAGGGGCCAGCCAAGGACCCAGCAGGAATTGTCATGATACATACCTACTTCTTCTATTGGAGTGGTTGCTGTCTATATATATATATATTGATTTCAGAGAGGATGGGGAAGAGAGACGGGGAGAGAGAAACAACAATGAGAGAATCATCGATCGGCTGCCTCCTGTACACCCACACTGGGGATTGAGCCTGCAACCCAGGCATGTGCCCTGACCAAGAATCGAACCATGACCTCCTGGTTCATAGGTCAACGCTCAACCACTGAGCCATGCTGGCCGAGAAGTTACTATGTTAATGTTGATGTTGCCCCACTCCTCGCCAACGTCAGGCAACTATTTATCGAAAGCAAACTCTATGACAGGTACCACCTTATTCCCTCGCCCTCTCCCCATTTCCCCTTGCTCCCCATAACATGGTTTGATGAACCCTGAGAATCCCAGATTTAAAGGACACAAACCATAGCTCCTCGTGTTCAGCCCGAGGACACTCCCTGCTGTCCAGCCTCCAGGTCGACCCTGCATATCTCTTGTTTTATTGGGTCTTTTTCTCATTTTTCGATGACACTAGCAGGACCTCTCAAATGTGTGCATCATATGGTTTCACACGATACGCATTACCCAGCAGAGTCGGGAACTTGAAACCAAAGGTCAGGGCCAGCCGTCAGTGATTTGGGAGACTCTGGCCCTTGCTCAGGTTTCTGGGACAGCCTTTCCCTGGCAAATGCCAGAGTCCCCAATATTGAGGTGCTCTCCTCACTGGAGGTCGGGGTGAGGGAGGGCTGACCCAGATCTCTCCTCAGTCACCCAGGCCTGGGCGGGATCTATATCTTCCTTCAGATCATGCATTCTGGGAAGAGAGAGAGATCAGATCATGCATTCTGAATCTGGCCTTTGGACATGCCTGCCTCCAGGGTCTTCCTCCCTCCGGTGACCTGTGTGTAAATGGGTCTCTGGAAACACACAAGCCTTTTCTCCACGCCCCAATGGGCCTCCCAGGCACGTCTGGGTCCGGGACTTCTGTGGAAGGCAGAGCGCTCCTAGGCCGGTGAGAAGGAGCATTCTGGGGTAGATGGTGGAGCTGAGTGCTGCCTGTAAATTATACTGTGCAGGGAGGGACTGGTTCTTCTTAGGAAAAAACAGGGTATGAGATTTGGGGGGCATAGTGTAGAAATAGTGTTAGCTGGAGACGTACAGTCATGTGGATGGGTTAGTGGGGATAGAAAGGACAAATACAGAAGACAAACTGTCCGTCCGAAGGGAGTTGGTGAATCTGGGTTTTCTTAAGAGTGCTGAGATGGATTAGGAAAGGGGGGAAAGAGAGACGGAAGACCCGGAATTTTGAATGATTAAGTAGGAAATGAGAATGTTTCTTTTCCCTTGGAAACACTGTGTCCATAAAACACCATGAAAAAACACAGTCAGGTTCCCGCCAGCCTCTTCCGGTAGTGACTTCCCTGGCTCCAGTGAGTGAAGGATGGCTCTGTGCCTGGGGAGAGGCAGCAGGGGAGGCTGATGTGTGCATCACGGCGCTGCCTTACTCCTCATCCTTACAGTGTGGCTGTGGACATGCTTTCTGCAGGAACACGGTGGAATGGCCCTGACCGAGGGCGGGTGGGAGCTGAGCACACTGGGTGCTGCCCAGGGGGGAAGGGGGGAGGGGGAAGGTGGGAGGGGGAAAGGGGGGTTCTCTCCCACCCCCTTCCGCTTCCGCACCAGTGTGCACGGCAGGCAGTGAACAAGAACCCTCATCCAGGGCACCCCTGCTCTAAAGTGATGCTCTTTGAAGAGCTCTGCAATCGCCATGTTCCTATAGGTGGCTCTCTCGTAGGCCCAGCTCTGCCTGCTCAATGCCAAGCCTGCATTTTCCTTTTGTTAAATGTACCGTTACAATGCATTGTAATATGGCAACCCTAAACGATAACTGTTTAAAGAGAAAACAGTCTATCCTATCCTACTTCCCAGCTCTGCATACCCATATCTTCATCCGCTGGGCTTTATCCATCTCTCTCTCTCTCTCTCTCTCTCTCTCTCTCTCTCTCTCTCTCTCTCTCTCTCTCTCTTTCTCTCTCTCTCTCTCTCAATATATGTCTGTGTGGCAAGCAGGCAGAAACAAGAAGGCATGAAGGTGTTCCTTGGCCTTTCTTCATTTCAAAGGGCTATTATTCCCTATAAACTGGGTTTATGTCTTCATGAGTGTCTCCAGTTCAGAATTTTTCTCAGGAAGTTCTGTAGCCCACATTTGGGAGTATCCATGTATTATTTATAGTTATAGACACTCTATAGTTTACGTCGCCTGCAGGTTGTGACGTTTATAAGCATGCACATGAGCGGGAGTGTGTTGGTATAGGACAGTGCAGAGTAATTTACATTGCCACCCTTGGTTTATACCTTGAGACACTATCTGACAGCCTCTGGCTCTCGCATTCAACTGCGAACAGCGGGAATCATGGTGTGGGCATCCTCAGCAGGGTCAGTGCTGGCATCCTGTGGTGCTGTTATCTGTAAGTCTCATCGATACTGCTGAGGCTTGACTGAAATGCCTTCTGGTTGATGCCTGAGGTTCTGGCTGTCCTGAAATTAAATGGGCTCCTAGCAGTGCAGAGCCCGTGTGGGAAGCTTGTAAATGCTAAATGCAGTCTGTTCTAACGCTCCCTTTCTCTTTCTCTCCTCCAGTTTGCTGTTTTGTGGTTCACAAGAGGTGCCATGAATTTGTTACTTTTTCTTGTCCGGGTGCGGATAAGGGACCCGACACGGATGTAAGTAACCTGGGGAACTATTGCTCGATGTCCACGCAGGTTCCACATTCAATGTGTTAAATGCCTGGACCGCTGTTGTTGGGGCCCACACTGCGGATGGGAAGACTTGCCAGTTCGTCGCATGCTGTCTGCCTTGTGCTAATGAATGGCCGCACGGTCCTTCTAAGCCCCGTTTGGACCACGTGGGGACTGGGGAATTTCCTGTTGGTGGGTCCTCTTCCGTCCTCCTCTCTAGGCAGCCACGTGGACCAACTCTACCAAATGTATAGCAGTAGCTTCCCTGAACACAATGCGGGTCTTTCCCAAAGATGCATATACATATTAGATAGCGATTCACCCCTCAGTTGACCAAACGCCAGGCCTGCCATTGCGTTTGGCCCGCATGACACACTATTCCTGGTTCGTATAGCGAGAGCCCTGCTGCCTCTCATGGCGAGTTACAAATGCTCCTGTTGAATTAAAGAAGTTCATAACCGCAATGGCTGACGCCGCGGTGGTGGTCACCTGCCTTGTGAGTCTGCCTGTCTCTAGGAGCACCTGTGCGGCAGCGTCTGCGTGCCCAAGACAGGGTCACCCGAGGGGGGTGGGACGTCAGAGACAGGGTGGGGCAAAGCAGGGTTGCAGTTGTCCGTGTGGACCATGATGCAGTAGTGAACAAATAATACAAGAATAAACTCTGTTTCGCATACAACTGTAAGCCTCCTGTGTCTCCCCTCCTCCCATATGGAGCGGAAGGAGCCTTGGGCTGTTGCATGGAAGGTAATATTGTAACTGAAGAAAACAGCGTTGTTCTAGCAGTGTTTCCCAAACTTTTGACATATGTGTACCCCTTCTATAATTTTCGTAACGCTGAGCACCCCTCGTACTCATGAGAATGTAGAATTAGGCGCAGCTAAGCACGGCACAGTGCATATCCCCACCAAACTCCGGTGCAATGCGTACCCCCACCAAACTCTTCCCGTACCCCTGGGGGTACGCGTACCACACTTTGGGGAACACTGCATTAGCTGTTCGCCTTAAGGGAGGAAAGCTGCAAAGTGGCCCTTTCAGAGAATCCTACCAATGTCAGTCCTGCTCGTAAAGCCACAGTGTGTGTACACACACACACACACACACACACACACACACACACGAAGCAAAAGTAATATCTGCTGTGAAGCTGGACGCTGTGGAGGGCTGTACATCCGGAAAGCAAAATTGCTTTCAGTTCTTCATGACAGTCTTGAGGATTCTCTCCTCTCAAGTTCTTTTTGGTGTCTTAGAAACGAATTGAATTTTAAAAAAAATAATATTAAGGCTGCTAAATTGTCTAAAATTTAACATTTCAAAGCTTCATTTATAAAAAAACTCAAGGCTTTTAAAACAAAAAATATGGAAATTTAATTAGCAAATCTATTTTCTCAAAGTGTGCTCTTATCTTTGCTATGGAAATAAGACAATTTCGTGAGCAAACCCAGTTACACCCAAAAGGTTTCTATACTCGTGAGCTGACAAAGTAAAACAAAGCTTGTGAAAGGTGCAGGCTCTAAAAACATGGCATTTGCAGGCAGAGGGAGCTCAGGAGGGCCCTGGCGTGGCAGCTGGGTGTTCTGTCCTACCAGGTAGCTCACTACAAACCTTCCTAGACCGTGTTCTTCTTTTCTTTCCTTCTTTCTTTTTAAAATAAATATAGGGGATGAACTTAGTGGTCTTTAAAGTTGTCCTCAGCCCTCAATCCCATTCCACCACTAAATATGAAAGGACTTCATTCTGTGAAGATGTGAAGGGGATGACAATTTCATTCCTGCCCTCCCAATACATTCTCTTATATCACAAGGATGAGTGAAGCAGGCCAAGTGTTATGATTTTACTTGGCTTGGCTTTGCTGGCATGGTTCAGTGGTTAGTGTTGACCTATGAGCCAGGAGAGCATAGTTCCATTCTGGGTCAGAGCATATGCCCCGGGTTGTGGGCTCAATGCCCAATGGGGGGCGTGCAGGAGGCAGTTGATCAATGATTCTTCTCTCTCATCATTGCTATGTCTCTCCCTTCCTCTCTCTGAAATCAATAGAAACATCCTTTAAATGAATTTGCTAGCTGCATACATGGCGAAGAAATAAAATGCTTTTGAGTGTAAGTGGAGGGAGAGAGAGCATCTAATAGGAGAATTCGGGCAGGCTTTCTGAAGGTGCTGACATGTTAAACGGATTATAGTTCTTTTCCAAAGTTTCTTTAACAAACACACAGACCAGAGTTTTCGAGTATCCCCTGCTTAAGGGAGTTGCCTCTCTTGTCAAACGCTGTTATCCGGTGGGCACACAAACTCAGGTGACGCATCCAGGCTGTCCCCCCAAACGCAGGTGCACTTCAGAAGCTGATGGCTCCACTTTGAAAATGAGGTGCAGTTTAATACACCCTGCCTTTATCCTTGTTCAGACTGTGTGTGTGCGTTTTTTTCCAAGAAGCCCTGTGGCAAGAACAGCTGCAAGGAAACCGCGGGATTCTGCACAGCGCCCTGGGCTCCCCCAGGCCAGGTCCTGAAGCCACCCCGGCGCCCGCCCACAGGTCCCACTCCTCATGGGCTGCGGCACACGGGGGCGCCTTAAAAACAAGCTATTTCAGGGAAATAAGCCTAAACGCTTCTTCTGTGCTGATTCCCATCCCCGGAGGGTGGGCCCTCCTATGCACCAGATTCGCCGCAGCAGAAGCATTTCCCACAAGGGAAGGGACTCCTGCTACTTTTGCACCAAATTAATTTAGCTTGGAATTAAAAATAGCCCCGAAGACGTGCCCTCCTGGTCCGCAGCAGCACTGGTGATGCGCGCCCGTGGAGGCGGCTGCGGGGCAGTGGAGCGCCCCTTCTCCCCCTCCCCAGGTTTGGCCGGTGAGAAGTGTGCCTGGTTGATGACAGGGCCTTCAGAGTTTAGCCCCACGGGGCCCTGGGGGGCTTCTCCGCTCAGCCCCCCAGTGGAAGCTGTCACCGCTCAGACATCTTTGGAACGCCGCTCTTAGAATAGCACGGAAGCCGGGAGCACATTCTTTTCAAAGCCTCCCTCTTGGCACATGATCATCCTTTGAGAGTGTGGAAATTGTTTGGGGAAAGCAGCCAAAAGTGGGGTGGAGCCAGACCTGGAAAGGGGGCGTGGTTAAGTGGGCAGTCCTGTTGCGGGTGCAAGAGGAGGTCAGAGGATTCGGCTGGGAGTGATTTTTCTCATGAAAGTTGTGAACTGTCTCTGGCATCAGGTTTGAAAGAAGCTTTCGTGCGTGAGGCAGGCAGAGCACACAGGGGCCCTTTGGTTGCCGTCGGGGGCCTTTTTAGTTAATGCCTGTGTGTGCTCTTAAGGTGTTGCATTGCTTAATGATTACGCGGTGGATGCTCCAAGAGCAGATCCTGTCTTTTCCCTTTAAAAGTAAAGAGCCCAGCCCCTAGCCTGGCACAGCACAGACACTGGAAACATATTGTTGAACCAAAGAGAGTGAGCGGATGAGGGTCTGATAACCTAATTTGATCACCTGCTGTTTTTATCTGGACTCCAGTTACCTGAGTAGTTTTCTCTGTACCTGAGATGGTCACGGAACTGCCCCGGAACCGGGGCGTGGCTGTTTCATTGCATCGCTGTTGTGGTGCCGGATCCACAGGGTCGGCTTGCCTGCTTTTCATGACAGCCATTTGAAACCATTGCCTTATTTCTTTGGAGTTAAAAAAAAAAAAAAAAAAGGTGGATCTGGGTAATAATAGCTTTCAGACTGGTTGGGATACAAAATAAATAGAGTGGTTTCCTTGTTTATTCTTCCTGACCCCTACAAGTGGTTTAGGAATATCAGATAGTGGAAGTACAAGTAATCAAATTAACCTGCCCCTGAGGACTGATGCTGGAAATGCCCCTGGGGAGCCTGCCTGAGCTTATAAATTTGCTCGGCACCAGGCGAGGTTTTGTGGGGGGTTTTGTTTGTTATAAACCTGCCGAAGACAAAGGCAGTTTGCACTTTCGGAAGGCAGTTTGCCCGTTTCGGGTCCCTAGCCTGTCTCTCCCCGCCTCTCTTTCAGGGCAGGAAGCTCTGGGGCATCAATGCGGGGTAGGAATATTTAAAGCAGGAGGGTTTCATACTTGGAAGTGATATTCTCCCTGGAGGAGGGTGATTGTAGGTTTCCAGATATTAAGCTGTATCATGACTCACTTGTTCTTAAACAGGTCGTTCCCCTGTTTCTGCAATTAATCACAAAAGACCAAGGAAGCTTGAAAAGGAAGAGGAGTTGAACACAGCAGGCCCTGAAATTAGAAAGGCAGGCTGCTCTCCTGAGCGCTTGCTAAGTTTGAACGATGCACCAAGGTTAAGATAATTCATTTTAATCACGTGTTTGTTTGGTGGGTTTTTTTTTTTTTTTCTTTCTTCATTACAAATCTGTAATTTAGAGTATCTTAATGTACAGAACTAGGGGGGAGCCAATGGTAAGTGGAAGATTTTTAAAGGAATTGCATACCTAGGTGAGACAAACCTCCCCTGGCTGTCCACGTGCCCACTTTCGGTTAGGAGCTGTTGGCTGATACTCTATTCTCATGAGTAAACGTCTGTTCATCCAGGGGCCACGTGACGGGAGACTGCAACAAAATAGCCTCTGCAGACACACACAGTTCGCCCAGTAGCCTCCTAACTTGCTGCTCACTTCTGCTCTTGTCTCTTCCAGTGTATCCTCCATACAGCAGCCAGAGCTGTTTTTTTTGTTTTGTTTTTTTTGCATGTCTCAGGCAGATCGTATGACTGCCCTGCTGGGCCTAAACCCTTCAGGGGCTCTCCTTGACCATTAGAATAAAATACAAACTTCTTCCCTTAGTCCACAAGGTGACTGATCTGGTCCCCGTCCTCTTCCGGGAGCAGAGCACACCACGCTCTTTTGCATCTCAGGGCCTTTGCACTGGTGGGTTCCTCTGTCTGCATCTCATTCCCAGAGAGAGGGATGCGAGTTCACGCCTCTCCCGTCTCTGCTCAGAGGGCCCTTCCCCGATTATTTTCAATCAGTCT